CCTACAGTGGATGTGTTTCCCCAGTGAGTGAGTGTTCACAAATCTTTGTGGACCCTGAACACCTGAAATAAGCTGACTGGCATCCTGCCAAGGCTGCAACCAAGACAGTCTCAGCCGCCCATCCTCTTTTCCTCAGCTACAGATGAGTGTTGGTTAAGGCCTTTGAGCCTGGGACAAAATGTCGACTGGAGTTCCTGTCCTGGGGATTGACGATTGGCCTATTTTAACTTTCTGTGAGCATAGGGACAGTGCCGTGATGTTACTCTGTATCCAATATTAAGGGCTCTTTGAACCGTTTCACTTATGGTGGGAAAGACCAGTACGAAGTGAGAAATCCTGAAGGATCCCTCCCATCCCTGTAGAGACATCGGGACTGCAGCGGCTGAGGGAAACACGACTCCCTACGCACTGGAATGGGGTTCTCCCGGCTGAGAAGAATAGAGTAAGAAAAATTGATGAGATTATATTAAAAGGATTCTGCCTCTTTTTTTTTTCCCCCCTTTTATTTTATTTTCTCCCAGGGAACTTTAAAGTGGGATGGGGGGGCATATTAAAATTTTGGAAATCTTTGTATTTCTCAGCAGGTAAGTGTGCTTGGATTCTCCTTCTGTTGCCATTTAATCTCATTGCAGCCTCTGCTTACCTATGTTGAACAACATGGCTGAGCAAAATCTGAGAGCTGGAAACAGAACAGGAAGCCAATTTTGAGCTGTAGTTGCAAAACATCCTTGGAGTTCACTTAATTAATGACCATAATATTATGAGTACTTTCTGAGCCTTCTAGAAGCGAAGTCTAAATTTCTCATGGTGACTTCAGAAGGATCCACAAAAGGAGTTGAGGTTGTTGTGTGGGAGGATGGCTTTGTGGAAGTGGGAAAGGACTTCCCTACAGACAGTTGACCTCCTCCAAGCCACACTCCTGCCAGACCACAGCCTGGGTGGGGTTTCAGCAATGCCGCCTCTGCTGGTCTTGCTCCCACCCCTCCCTCTCACCTCGTCGAGAGGACAAAGATGAGCTATCTGAGTGGGCAGTTTGGAAAAAAGAACTGAGTATGCCCAGCTTAGGGTGTCCCTCTCCTCTTTCAGGGAGGTCATTCTGGCCTGACCTCTGTCATGGGATAAAATCTTGTCCCTCAGGTGAGGCATGAGATTGTCTAGCTCTGCCTGGGACAAGGAGGAGAAATTCAGTTGTAAGATGAAGTTTTAATGAGCTCACTTAGCCACAGAGCCAAAGCTATGTTCCCCAATAAAGGTGATATTTAAAATAAAGGTGATATTTAAACTAAAATAAAAATTATTGACTCAGTGATTGGGTGAATAAACATAACACCTATCCACATGAAACTGATCAAAGATTGAAAGGTATAAGCAAGAGTCAGTTTGTTCAATAGAGATTCCCCTAAGTTGTCCTCAAGTAAATCAATTTTTGTAAGTCATGTCTTCTCCCCTTACCTCTCACATGGCTGATCCTTTATTCCCATATAGACTAATCATCACTGCTCCTTAATTTCCCATCATTGGTCCCTAACATTTAAGTCTTAAATTTTTATTTATTTATTTTATTTTTCTTTACCTTCCCATTTTATAGGTCAGGAATAAGTCTTAATTTTTTCCATCCCCACAAACTACTTAAATTATCTTAATAAACAATTAGGAGATTGGGAGGCTTTTTTAGCAAAGCTTGTTATTAGTACCTCTTAAGGCAGAGCAGGTCTCTAGCGAATAAAGCAGATGGCACAATCAAGAAACTGCCACCAATTACTCATGTATTATCTCGCCTAGCCCTAACCACAGCCCACTGTAGAGGTGAGTACACTAGGGGTCAGGGAAATTAATAACCTGCCCAAGTTTACATTGCCAGTAAGTAGCAGTCAGGATTTGAACCCTGATATGCCTGCCAAGTCTATGCTCAGTCACTACCCTACAATGCCCACATTCATAGAATTACATCCCACCAAGATTGGAAGAAATCGTACAAGTCATTCAGCCCAACCCCCATATTTTACCTAAGTTCCCCCAGCCACGACTCACTCAGTAATGGGGAGTTCCTAAGGCAGCCTCGTCCATTGTTGGGCAGTCCTGTTGCTTCAAAAACGTCTTTATACATGGAATATTCTGTAGATTTGATCCACTGGCCCTAGGTCTGTCTTCCCTTTGGGGCCCCCAAAGCACAGAACCTTGTAGGTAGCATAGTGCCATGCCTAGATTAAACATCCCGCCTCCTCCAACTATTCCTCACAAACTGTGATCTTCAGCCCCTCCCCATCCTCCTGTGAACTTCCTCTGAGCATAATCATTGTCAATCACCCATCTAGGGCCTGGAACTGGACATAATAGGACATAATATTCCAGGATGAGGCAGACCCATGCAGAATAGAGCTAGGTTATTACTGCCCCTGCTGTAAGCACTATGTCACCACATACTTGTGTGTGTGTGTGTGTATGTATGTATGTATGTATGTGTGTGTGTGTGTGTGTGTGTGTGTGTGTGTGTGTGTTGGGGGGAGAAAATTGCCCCCATATGGCTTCCTAGTGCTAAAAGAATATTTCCCCAATTGCATTTCCTGAAATATCAGTATCTCAGAATAACTAAATAGGCACTTTAATAACAATAATTTGAAAATTCTGTGACCCTATAAATTTGAAAGATACCGCTTAACATTCTATGCCAGGTACTGTTCTGGTCACTAGAGTTCTATGCATGAAAAACACAAAACAAAATCCCCATATATGGAAGCTACAAGTCAGACAAGAAACACTATGAATGTGTGATGACCTTTTGAAAGATTTGCAATGCAGAATGGCACATCATAGGAGAAGTTCTGATACAAAGAAATAGAATTGATTTCATTTACTTCAAGACGTCTCAAATATAGGATCCGGGTATAATTACCAGCATCCTAGAGAACAGTATTTGAGTCACTAGTTTAGGAAACACATGCTTACATCACTGAACACAACTTACCCTGCCTCCAGCCAATATACTTTCTGATGTCACTGCTGTCCTGTATGGAAACCTTCTAATGTAAAAAGAAACTAAAGATCAGCCAAAAAAATATTCTGAGTATGGCAAGCTCAGTCCTTAGGAGGGCTTAGATGACACCATGGGACATGCTGGCAGGGAAGGGGGAACGCACCAGGGAAGGAAACAAATAAGCAGATGAACAGAGGACAAAACTCTGCCGACCCCACCAGGGGAGCGAGGCCAATGGAGGATCAAATTCTAACAGAGGAATAGGTGATCCTGCTCTGCTCCCAGGCCACGCTTCAATGACCCAGGTGGTCTGACCTGGCAGTAGAGCAGGGGACAGTCAGGGAAGTAGCAGCACCAGATAAGGAATTCTACCCTGAGTAAGGTCAGAATGAAGTAAAACCAGAATGGATCCAAATACACAGCCCAAAAGCCCCCAGTAGGCTCCTGGCAGGCCCAGGGAGCTTTTCCCAGGATGTCATGACTAGAGCATCAAAGATACCCTATGCCTTCGCTCCCTGGTAGAAATTGCTGATGACTAGTTCCCAACCCAGCTGGATTTCATTGACAATCCAGCTTAACACTTCCATTTCAGCGCTTTTAATTAAACCTGGCACTTCCAGGCAGGTGGTTACAAAACTGGCATGAAGAGCAGCAGCCGGCCCCTGCACCCCTGCTCAGACGTTCCTGCAGGCCCCCGCCCCACCGCTAACTTCAATGTTTCTCGCTCATCGCTTCCTCGATTTCTTCACCTACTTTGGTCCCCGTGTCCTGTGGGTCCCTCTGGACTTGATGGTTCAGTTTGGGGTGGGAGCCCCAGCTTGAACCATCACTTGCCCCTACCTGTGATGTCAGCATCGGCTCGTCAGTATTGAGTGCCTGCCCCCGTGCCCCAGCCGTAAGCCATCCCTCCTTTGTCCCTGTCAGGGCAGGGAGAGTGGCATCGGAGGACCTTTCTGTGATGGGGAGGGTGAGAATGACATGCGGTACAGGCCCTGAGGGGCCAGGAGGGTGGACTGAGGCAGGATGGGCAGGTGAGTCAGCCCAGAAGGGCCGAGAATCTGGACAAAATGAGCCAAATGCTCAGGAAGGAGAGAAAGGAAACTCTGGGCTTGGCAGAGAGGCTGAGTTTGGAAAGAAGCCAAGATGGAAAGGGATCTGTTATTTGTGGGAAGCTTTTATTTGGTGGTGGGAAAAGAATGGCAAGTATGTAACACAATATTTCTGTAACTATAAATAACATGTAAATACATTTCATAATGAGAACCGTATGGAATCTGCTTTACTGGGAGGCTTCTAAAATAGCAAGGGGCAAGGGAGGGAAATAACATGTATTTAACCCACACTATGTGCTAAGCACCTTCCATGTGGTTTTGTTTAGTCCTGTCACTTTTCTCCTGGGGAAGGTTTCTCAATTTACAGATGAGGAAAATGAAGCTGAGAGAGGTTAAGGAACTAGACCAAGGTCTCATGGTGAACCACCGTTTGAAAATAGATCTGTCAGGCTCCAAAGCCCTCCCAGTCATTCTAAAATCAACCATGAGCCTGCCTGGAGCCAGGGCAGGACTATAGGACCTTTCTAGATTCTTCTCTGTTGCCAGGATTTCCACAATTGGCTTACTCCTGGCAGGTATCATAAGTCTTTCGGGATAGTAAGATCCACTTGGTACACTATGAACAATAACTCAACAGAGGAGATCTAGGGTGGTGGGGACAATATTGAAAGTGTAATTGGGAGATGCCAGGCTCTGCCACTACCATGCTGTGTGATTTTGAATAAGTCCGTCCCCTCTCTGGGCTCCAGTTTTCACATCTGGAAAATGCAGAGTTGGGTCAGATGCTCAGGAAGCCTCTGCCCACCTCTGCAGCTTTGTCTTTCAGATGCTAGAGTTGACTTCGGTGGTCTGAGCAGGATGCTTCCCATGAAAGGCCATTTCAGCAGCTTCCCCCAGCCTGGCTCAGCCCCTCCATCCCCCACTTCCCCCAAGTGTCCCCCCACGCCCTTCTCCACAGCCCGGCCTGCACTGACCTGCACCTCCCGTGTCAGGGCCAGCTCCAGCAGCTGGCCAAAGTGCTGGCCCAGCGTGCTCAGCGTCTCACTCACACAGGCCTTCATTGACTTCAGGACATGCTCGTTCTCCACCTGGAGGCACCTGGGGAGAAGGAACCGTGGGGTGAGCCACCAGGAGGGGCATGTGGTCCTCACAGAGCCATTGCAGGGGCCAAAGCTGGGCCTGCTCCAGGCCTGGTGTTGGGGTGGGGGTTGGAGAGGTGGGAAACCATGAAGAGGGGTGCTGCAGTGAGCACTCTAAAGGCATATGGCAATGTCTGTGGCCCTTGAGGATTTTCTTCTCAGGCGGAAAAACAAAGGGGGATCTGGCTCAAATGTACCCCTGTGGCCTGAGAGTATTTCACCCAGGAAAGCCAAAGACCTCATGGAGCCCCGGGGGATGCCAGGATCCAGGTTCTCCCTGCGGAACATGGGGGCTGGGAAGAGTGAGGAAAGTGTCAACACACACCCGGTGTGTATACATGTGAGGCCAAGTGTGTGTATGTGTCTGAGTGTAAACTTACGTATGTTTATGCATGCGAAACATGGAGAAGAGGGCACGGTGTATCTCTGGTTGCGTGAGTGCGTGTTTATATATCTGTGTATGAGCCAGCGAGTGTCTGAACATCTGCATCATATGCATGTGGGTATAAGGGTGTGCGCATCTGCGTTCACCTCGCCTGGACTCTTGCCTTGACTTTGGGGACCATGGAGCCTTCTAAAAGCTGTGGGGAACCTTTTCCTTGTTACCAACTCCTCGAAAATCCTCTTTCTTCCTAAGCCTGGCCCTCTCCTCTGCCTTTTACCTTATCCCTAGGACTGGAAAATGGGGCAGAAAATTCCAAGGGAACCTTTTAAGATTTCTGATAAAAGTCAGGAAAAGGAAACTCCTAAACTACCATCAGTCTTCTCCACTCCCACGATCCCTCTGGGAGAAGGTGCCAGCCCCATCCCCTGTTGCAGGACAGGCTGGCAGACCCCAGGAGACCCAAGATCCAGATTTACCTCTCCGTGACTGCTGAGAGCTCTGAACATTTCTCCATTAGCAACTTCTCAATCTGTAGAAAAGGAGATCAATTTTATTCGATTCAATAAGCATTGATTGAGGACCAACTGCTGTGCCAAGCACTCTGGGGCATAAAGAGGAAGAATCAAGTTATCTGACTTGGGGAACAGGCACATGATCTATAACACAGTGTGATAAGGGTGGTTAAAGAAACTGTTGTCAGCTGCTTTCGGAGTATAAGAAAATAAAATTGAGCAATTAGTTATGCTGGGAGATCTGGGATGCTTCAGACAGGAAAAAGCATTTCAGCTGGGTTTTGAAGAATAAATGGAAGTTTACTGTCTGCAAAGTAGAGGAAGGAAAAGTTTGAAGCAAAGGGTAAAGCACGAAGGTGCAAAGCAAATGACAAAGAAAAGAGAGAAATAACAGTAAGGGAGATTTTCAGTGGTTCACTTTGGGCTACGAGAAGAAAATTCAACGTCATGAGCTGTGGAATCAGAAAAGCTGAGGCTGAATTCTGTTCAGACCATTCACTGCGCAACTTTGGGAAAGTTACTCAGCCTCTCAGAAATTCTGTTTCCTCATCTGTAAAATGAAGATAATAATACTAGCTGATATTTTTAATCAACTGCTTCAAATGTTTTACATGTAACAACTCATTTAGTCTTCACAACAAATCTATAAAATAAATGCAATTATTATACCCATTAGGATAAAAGAACTAGGGCAAAGGGAAGTTAAGTAACTTGTCCAGGTCTGCACAGCAGAGCTGACATTTGAACCCAGCTAGTCTGGCATCACAGTTAATATACTTAAGTATTGTGCAGCTTCTCACAGTGGCGGTGCCTACATCACAGGTTGTGCAGGTTCAATGAGATACGTGTAAAAACACCTAGCACAATGTCACACATTAGGTACTCAATAAAGGTCCTTACTGTCTTTCTTCCTTGCTTTACTGGAAGAGAAGGGAGGTCCCTGAGGGAGGAAAGGTGCAGACTCCACACGATTCAGACCCACTCTGCTCGGAGGCATCTCCACTCCCAGAATCCACCCACCCACCCCCATCCCAGGGCAGCTGACCTGGCCCATTTCCTGCGAGGAGCTCCTGCTGACAGCGCTGTACTCGCTGACCATGGAGCGGGCGTGACAGGTGAGACGCACACTCATGCTGTGCACGCGCGCCCAGCGGTCCTGCGCCAGCTTCTGCCCGATCCTGCGCAGCTCCGTGCTGATGACCCAGCCCCGCTTGAGCAGCAGCTGCAGGGGGTCTCCCGGGCCAGGGCCGCCTGCCAGGATGAGGTCACCCTGTGCATCCTCCTCCAGGCTGATGGGCTTCGCCTGCAGGACACACATGCACTCACACTCGGTCATGAGCTTCAGATCCTCCATCCAGCGCTGGACTGAGTCCACCTGCATTAGGTGCAGCCTGCAACCAGAAAACAGCACCAGGATGACTATCAACACTCCACGATTTCCAAAGATTTCCATTCCAGGCCATCTGATGTTTACTAAGCACCTACTACATGCTCAGCACTGTTTCTCCCATTCATAAGCTCACTTCTGGTTATCTCCATTTTACAGATAATAAGCCTGAAGCACAGAAGTTTTGAGGGCAGGGGACCAGACAGACAACAAAGTCTGACAGAGTAGCAAATGATCTTTACAATAAGGGGAAAATGGAAATAGCCTAAATATCATATAATAGTTACATTAAGTGAGCTATGCTATAGCTACATGGTTACATAGTATACAATTATTTAAAATAATGCTTCCTAAAAGTTTAAAGCAAAGAAAAGTGTATGTGCTAATAAAGTGGAAATACAATATGAAAAAATGTATATGTAAATGCACAATTATTATAATAAAAAAATTTTAAAGCTATGTCCAGAAAAAATATTTAAAGGAAAGACATTAAAATGATAAAAGCTCTTAATGGGTGGTAAAACTAAAGGCTTTTTCTTTTTTTTTTTTTAACTTCTCTTTAATTTCCAAATTTTCTATAGTGATCATGTGTATTAATTTTATAGTGGAATAAAATTAACTTTATTTAGTACAATAGCATGAGAACACAGATTAGACCCTAATACCTTAATCAAATAAAAATCACCCTAAAATTCACTTGGTCAAATAACAGTTAGTAATAACAGCTCATGAATTAAGCATTGGACATTTGTTGAGGGCCTTATATTTAATATCGTGTAAGTGACAGGCATTGTGGGAAAAGTAGAGATGAAGATGTCAAGTCTCTACTCTCAAGGAGCTTTTGATCTGCCTAAAGAATCAGGAGAAACCAGTGAGAAGTTAAAAGACAATTATTATGTGTCAATTAAAAATAAAACTTAAAAAACAAAACAAAACAAGACAATAACGGATTTTGCCATCACTTTATAACAGAAGGCATGCGTAGCTAATGATTAAGGCTGAGCCCAAATCCCTTTGTTTTGGGCTTGTAATAGCCTTCTGATAAGTATTTCTGACCTAATCTTACCTGCCTCAAGCATTCTGTATATACTAGCAATTCATTCACTCACTCACCAACTATGCATTCTGTGCCTACCATGTGCCACATATTCTAAGACAGGCTGTAGCAGCAAACAAATAATCACTTCCCTTGTGAAAGTTGCATTCAAGTGAGAGGGCATTCAATTTGCAAAATAAACAAGCAATGTACATGATTTGTTAGAGGTAGCAAGTGCCAGGAAGGAAAAGAGAATGGGAGAAAAGACTAGGCAGTGCAGGTGGGAGAAAGGGGAGTGGGCATTGCAATTTAAAATGGGTGGATCAGAAGAGGCTAATTGAGAAAGAGATATTTGAGCAAAGACTTGAAGGACATGAGTAAGGGAACCATGTAGATATCTGGGGGCAAATTGTTCCAGATGAGAAAACAGCAAGTGCAAAGGCTCTGAGCTACGTAGGAGTGTCCTTGAGATGTGTGGGGAATGGCAAGGAGGCCAAAGCAGCTGGAGGAGAGCTAGCTGGGACCTCAAGGAGTTAAAACTACTGGGGCTAGGACAGGAGAGCTTCCATAACCTGGCCCCAACCTCCTTCCCCTTACTGCTCCCTTTTCCATCTTCCCCCCTGACCTTAGCTGCCCTGCCATAAACATGTTCTCCACACTCCGGCTACACTCAACCTCCCCATTTCCCACACTCACCACTCTCTTTCACAACCTCCTGCGCCCTTGAGCACCCAGCTCTCTCTCAGACTGAAATCCCCTTTCCTTCTTCTCTACCTGGCAGACTCCTACTCACCCTGCAAGGCCCAGCTGTCATGTCACTGCCTCTGAAAAGACACAGCCAGAGCTCACCGGTTCCTCCCCAGGGCCCCTGCATCCTCCATTGGAGCACTAATAACATTCTGTTGTCATTGCGCCTGGCAACTTGTTGCCAGTGCCTGACATATATCAGTCACTCTGTAAATGCATGGCAGCGAGTGCATCGCCGGGTGCCAGGCACTTGCTGGGATATGTCTATACCTCTGCAGAAGACTTCATATGCCTCCACCACTCGTGCTGCCCAGAGAGCACCCCGAGACTGACATGATAGGAAAGGGGATAGAGAGGATAAAAAAAAACATATGATCATTGTGTTCTAGAGACACATAACGGGCAGGCAAACTGACCTAGGGGTTGCTAAGAGGCAACAAATAAACTAGTCAGTCGGGCACTGACTCAGTCACTCCACAAGCACTTTGCAGTGGATATCTGTTGCTTTGTCTTCTCAGCATCCCTTCCTCCCTCTTCCGTCAATTGCAGAGACAAGTTACAGTAGCTCCCTCCTGGGGTGGCTGCCCACGCTTCAGCTGTTGCCTCCTCTTTGGGAAGAGCCCCTCCTCCCAAACTTAGGCATGGTCCACCAGTGGCCATGTCTGGGGGTGAGAAAACACTCCTGGCTACAGTGAGTGGTTGATCCAGGGGTAGCTCCTGGATCAAGCTACACTAATTCAATTCCTTCCCCTAAACTGTGAAACTTAGATCCAAGAGTCACAGAGACAGAGATGTGGCACATGGGACATGTTAATGACTACAACTTCACTTGTTCCATGAGAAACTCCAGGATCATCTGGGGAGTAGGAGATAAGTCCAAGAATTAATTTCTGTTGCTTATAACCAAAAGAACCTTTGCTAAAACACAAGTCCACAAATAACTAAGTGGAGTCAGTGCTATTCCTTAAAGGTCTTCTGGGAATTCAAGGGAGGCAGCTGTCCCTTCCAGCTGGAGGTCAGGGGAAGGTGCCAGAAAAGATGGTCAGAGAGCTAGGGAGGGTTTTGACATGTCAAGACAGTAAGAGCAAATTCCAGCGTGGGGCAGTAGAAGGGACAATGAAGAAGTCCCTTGGATTAGAGTCCCACATTCCAGAAGAGAGGGACCCATGAGGAGGAAAACTAGAAAGGTGGACAGGGGTCCTGATCATGAGAAGCCTTGAAAATGCCAGAGTAGGGCTGGGCATTCACGGTGAAAGCCCTGAGAAGCTGCTGAAGGGCAGCAGGGCACAGCAGCAGAGGTGGGGACCGGCGGGGTTGGAAGATGGCCAAATGGTACTAGCACCTGGTACAAAGGAAGCCTGTGCACTGGCACCTCTTTACCTCTGGCCTGGGGGGGAAAGAGCCAGGGAAGAGGCAGGAAAGGAGAAAAAGGGAGTCAGAGCTACCAATGCTTGAGGCCTGGGCTGATCCTAGGAGTCCTGCTGAGACCCAAAACTCATGTATTTGCCAAACCCTTTAATGCACACTGGAGGCATACTCAGTTCTTGCTCTTTAAAATCAAGAAACAGGAAGAAAGTGAGATTTGAGAAGCTGTGTTAATTAAAATCCTAGTCGATTCATCACTCTGCTAGTGGGAGAAGTGAAACGAAAGAACTATTGATTTCTCCAGGAGCTGTTTGTGCCTACGAGTGTCTGTGTCTGTGGATATGAGTTCATCTGGGTGTCTGTCTGCGTTATCTGGATGCCTGCATCTGTGTGTCTGGGCGTGAGCTTGGGTATCTCTCTACCTGCCCAATACTTGGATGAGTATGTTTGTGTTTACAGGTCTCATGTCACATAAACTCAATGATTAAAAGTAGAGGGGTATTGGGCTTCAGTATGGGCTGCAGTTAGTGACTCTCTTCCAAAGAAAAGAGTACAAAAAGAGGAGAAAAAAGTAACTTTGCAGTTACTTTACAGTTACTACAGACCTGGCAGACACTACCTCATCCAAGTGATCAAGGTTACGCTCACCAATGATAAGCCACGTTGACAGCACGTACCTATGATATGATATGATATGATATGATATGATATGATATGATATGATATGATATGATATATGTATGATATGATATATGACATGCCACCCTGTGTTCCCCCAAAACATATAACCTCAGTCTCATGATGACAGTAACATCAAACAAACACAAACTGAGGGAAATTCTACAAAACACCTGACCAGTACTCCTCAAGACTGCCACAGTCATCAAAAGCAAGAGAAGACTGAGAAACTGTCATAGACCAGGGACACTAAAGAGATGTGATAACTAAACTTAATATGATGTCCTGGGTGAAATCTTGAAGCAAAAAAAGAACATCGTGGAAAAACTAGTGAAATCTAAATATAGTCAGGCATACCCACAGGTTCCATGTTGAAAATATTCAAAATGAAAACAACAATAATAATACAACAATAAGAAAGAACACAAATTTTTAAAAATACAGTATAAAAACAGTTTTTATAGCACTTACGTTGTATCAGGTGTTATAAATAATCTAGAGATGATCTAAAGTACATGGGAGGATGGGCACAAGTTCTACTCAAATACGACACCCTCTTACAAATGGGACTTGAGCATCTGTGGATGAGTGTCCATGGAAGTCCTGGAATAAATTCCCCACAGATGTGGAGAGACGACTGTAACATCTGGAGTTTAGTTAATAGTAACGGAGCAATGCTGCTGGTTCCTTAGCTGTGACAAATACACCGTGGTAACAGAAGACACTAGCAAGCAGGGAGACTGGGTGTGGAGTGTACGGGAGCACTCTGTACTGTCTTTGCAACTTCCTGTAAGTCTAAAACTATTCTAAAGTTTAAATGTTTATTCAAAATAAAACAGGATGGATGGAAGGGTCCAGAAGAAATTCTTCCCCCCAGGAAGAACTTCACTCCCCTGCTTCTCCCCCAGCCATATCGCGAGCTGGCTGTCTCCTGGCTTTGTATCGGGAGCAAGCTCCAGTGGAACTTGGCTAAAGAACCTGGATGTGGAAGGAAAGGGGGTCCCCAGCTGGGCTGGGGGATAGAAATCATTCTCTCAGGGGAAAGAGCATGGCTAGCCTCACTGCCTTTGCCTTCCAGTCATGCCCCCATTATGTCCTAGAGCCCACCAATGACTAATCCCAGGTTAGCCTCTTAGACCTGTGCATTCTGAGCTTAGCTACCTGAGGGACCCTGTCTC